ATGAACAATATATAGCTATTACGTTACTGACTAAATGATCCCATACAAAAGTTGCTCAATTGGAAATTATCATACAGAAATTTGTTGGTATTCGTATCTTAATATACAAAGTAGGTATTTAACCTAACATTACTTTTACCTATTATTAACAAGACACACTGTTTCACACATTTAACTTTTCCAATAAAACTAATTTCCCGCGAGTTATGGATATTCTAAGCAGTGACGCATACAATTTACAACTGTGAGTCATACGCGGAATGAACGGCGTTTCCCCTTTCGAGGTAATTTAATACTGAGTGTGACGTGTGTGACTAACTTGCACTTAACCATTTTTATTCTGTTATTGTAGATCTATTTTGGTGCTTTCAATTATACACTACGGTATAGCTAAGGAACTAACAGAGTTGAGAGCTGTGATTAATTAGCGCGTTTAGTAAATGTGGATCGTCCATATTATTATGTGATTCGAGTATAGAGATTTTGCGGTTTGCATTTATGTAGCTTCTTTACAAAATCTTTATCATCAGCCTATCGCAGTCCACTGCTAGACATAGGCCTCTCCCATTGCACGCCACTTAGATCGATTTTGGGCTGCTTGCATTTAGCTCCTGCCAACCATCTTGCGCAAATCGTCACTCCACCTGGCCTGTGGCCGTCCTACACTACGTCTGCCGAGACGCGGTTTCCACTCAAGAACTCGTTTTCACCAACGGTTGTCGGTTCTGCGGCTAATATGGCCAGCCCACTGCCACTTCAGCTTGCTGATCCGGTAGGCTATGCCGGTGACCTTGGTACTCTGCCGGATCACCTCATTACTGATGCGATACCTTAGAGAAACGCCGAGCATAGCTCTTTCCACAGCACGTTGAGCGACTTTGATCTTGTGGACCAGCCATACCGTAAGTGTCCACGTTTCGGCTCCGTATGTCATAACGGGTAGGACGCACTCATTGAAGACTTTCGTCTTAAGGCACTGTGGGATCGACGATGAGAAGACTCGACGTAGCTTTCCAAAACGCTGCCCAACCCAACTGAATTCTTCTGTTCACCGCGTTCGAAGTTGTTTCTGCCTAACTGCAATGTCTACCCGAGGTACACATAATTTTGAACAACTTCGAGAACGCACTGTGTATCGCAATCGGTTCCGGTAGTATATAATCATTGAACACCTTGGTTTTATCCAAGTTCATCCATAGGCCGATGCGTACAGAAGAATCAGCTAGGTCATTCAGCATCTGTTCTAGGTCCTGCAGCGTCCCTGCCATGATGACGATGTCGTCTGCAAATCGCAAGTGAGAGATATATTCGCCATTGAAATTGATGCCACACCCTTTCCAGTGCAGTGTCTTGAACATGTCCTCCAATGCATTTGTGAACAATTTCGGGGAAATAACGTCTCCTTGTCTCACTCCTCAATGCAACGGTATGGGCCATGTTTGGCTGTTTCTGTACTTGGACGGATATGGTGGCGGCTTCGTAGAGACATTTCATCACTTGGATGTATCGCCAATCTACTTGGCAACGCTGCAGGGACTCCAGACAGACCAGATCTCAATCGAGTCAAAGGCCTTCTCATAGTCCACGAATGCTGGACACATAGGCTGATTATGTCTTTCGGTCTTCTGTATAATCTGACGCACTGTGTGGATGTGGTCTATAAAGCTAAATCCGCCTCAAAACCCAGCTTGCTCCGGTGGTTGGAAATCGTCGATTCTTCGCGCAAGTCGGTTCGTGATGACTCTCAAAAACAGCTTGTAGACATGGCTTATATAAGGGAGGGGGGAAGGGATATAGGTCGATAGTTCTTCAACATGGTCTTGTCCCCCTTTTACCTACTCCCCGCTTCCGGAGTTTTCCCTTCAAATATACAAACACATCTTCACAACTTCTAATATAATCTTTACATAAAAAAAATAAAGCCGCATTTTTGTGTTGTACGCTTAGATGTTTTAAACTAAGCAACGAATTTTGATGTGGTTTTTCCAATAGAGAGAGTCATTCAAGAGGAAGGTTTATATGTACGAGGGGTGATCAATAAGTAATGATAATCAATATGAAACAGAACTATTAGATTAAAAAAAGTATTTTATTTTTCAACATAGTCTCCTTGCAAGTTAATACATTTAGTGTATCTTTTTTCTAAGCCCATGATTCCCTTAGAAAAAAATTCTTTGTCTTGACCCTCCCAAAATGCCTCTACTGCGGCCATCACTTCACTATTATCCTCAAATTTGTTGCCCCGGAGGTGTTCTTTGAGCCGAGGAAAGAGGTAGAAGTCACTGGGAGCTAGATCTGGTGAATAGGGAGGGTGTTCGAGCAGTTCGAACCCCGTTTCTTCAATGGCAGCCATCGCAACTGCGGCTTTGTGAGCCGGGGCGTTGTCTTGGTGAAACAGCACTCCAGCGCGCAGTTTACCGCGTCTTTTTGACTTAATAGCTTCTCGCAATCTTCTTATTTGGCCTGCGTAGTAAGAGCCTGTTATAGTGGCCCCCTTTTCCAAATATTCCACCATAATAATTCCTTCTGCATCCCAGAAAACAGACGCCATAACCTTTCCCGCTGAACTTGACACTTTGAATTTCTTCGGCGTTGGTGAGGAACCTCGTTTCCAAGTCATTGATTGTTGTTTGGTTTCGGGATCAAAGTGGTGGATCCAGGTCTCGTCCATGGTCACAAAACGCGACAGAAAAAATTCTTTATCGGCCTGGAACTTTTGAAGATTCACCCTCGAAATGTCGACTCGTTTCTTTTTTTGCTCGTCGGTTAACATTCTCGGTACCCAACGCGCAGAGACCTTTTTCATATGCATTTTGTTGACAATGATTTTTTGAACGCTGCCATAGGAGATCCCTGTGACCTCGGCTACATGCCTTACGGTCACCCTTCGATCGGCCAACACGATATCTTTTTTTTTTTTTTTTTTTTTTTTTTAATAATATACCTCACACATTTCACACACGGCCGTCTGATCCCAAACTAGGCAGAGCCTGTGCTATGGTGACCAGACTGCTGATAAACATACTTATATATTTTTAAATACATACATATTATAGATAAATTACACCCAGACACAGAACAAATGATCATGCTCATCACACAATATTTGTCCTGGGTGGGAATCGAACCCACGACCTCCGGCTTAGCAGTCAGGGGCACTAACCACTCGACCAACAGGCCCGTCTATATCTTCCACTTTTTTGACGTTTTCTCCAGTAAGGGACGTGGAAGGGCGTCCCTCGCTATGTTCATCTTCAGTGGAGGTTCTGCCCAGCTTAAATTCCTTTGCCCAGCGTGCGACTGTGGAATATGGAGGAGCAGACTCCCCCAATGTTTCCTCTAAGTCGCTGTGTATGTCTTTGGTAGACATTTTTTTCAGGCAGAGGTACTTGATGACAGCTCTTATTTCATTTTTCTCCATTTTGATGTTTTCTCTTCGACAGTTCGTATTCAAATGAATGTATCTCCCGGTAATGGTGTCCTATTTATACATTTTTTTGAAGCTGAAGTAGTGGATATATAAGCAAGCAGAAAAAAAAAATTGGATTTTTGTGCGTTCTAGAAATACTCGATTATCATTACTTATTGATCACCCCTCGTAGGTATAATACATGCATATTATAGTGAATAGAATCCGAGAATTTCACAGAAATTCGTATATAATGTCGTAAGACACATGGTTTTTAAGCGCTTACATTGCAAATGCTGACTAATCCTTACGAGATGGACCAAAATAATGTACTACGGAATTGTATATTTTTTTTTAAATCTTCAAAAAAAATTCGCTATGATATATGTCTGTCTCCTAAGGGTAACCCATAGTAAACATTTTTATTTTTTAAATATTACAAAAAATAGTGGGTTATTTACGCAGCTATTTTAAAAAATACGTTATTATTACTTATCCAATGAAATACGTTAGATACGTTGTGCATTTAAAGTATATTAAAATTCCTCTTTGTATCATTGAAATGAATATTTTAGAGGATATTAGAGGTTTAAAATGAAGGCGCTCGCAGAAGATCGCAGCGGTCCTATAAATATTGCATTTAAAGATGTCCTGTGCTATAGTCTTATCATAATAATAGTATAATTAGTTACTCCACACTGACAAACCATTAAAAAACATTAGTATCTACATTGCAACCATGCTAAGCCGGGGCGGATCGCTAATAATCTAAAATGTTTTTTGCAGTCCTAAACTGACTATATGCATACAGCACTATTCTTTTTCAGAAAGTAGGAACAAACTACAACAATTCAAACGATAGTAGTCGTAAGAATACCAAAGTAAGATCAGTCACAGCAGTGACAACTTAAAAAAACTGTCCATCTATCTAAAGACTTTAAAATAGAAAGTCGTGACGCTTTTCCTAACAGTTCGATGTCCTATCCCCAAAAAGATATTCATTCTTATTCCAATTAGTCAACAATCCATTTAGAAATGAACTGGATGAAGACTCTATAAGAGTTTAGTTATTTTATTTCATCTGAGGTTTGGTGGAAAGTTATTATAAATTGACTATGAAATATTATAGTAAGAATGGCAGTTCGAAGGAAGAGCGACATTTGAGCTATCTTAGGTTTTAAATGAATTTTATTGACTTGAACATTTTGTACGATCATTTCTTTATTGCATTGCATTGCAAGGCAATTGTTATATTTAGCTTGTGACTCTAATTGTTCCTAATAACAAAGAATACACAATTATCTTATAAAACCACGTGAACTCTTTCATAACCATTTATTTTCAAATTTGTTGAAAAGCTCTGAGGAAAGATTACAGTTCTCGATACATAACAGTTCATTTAGAATAGAATAAACTTTATTACACACCAAAATATTTGTTGACATATTATAAAAATATGATCATATAGTTTTTAGTCTCCATTGCGTCAATTTAAGTTAGTTCGGATATTTTGCAACTCGAACGTTGTCATGAGAATAATTTCTTTGAATTTTAGTAATTCGGAAATATTCGTGTTTTACTTGTAACTTACCGCAACTTGAAATGCAGATCGCCAAGTCGTCCATCAGTGTTTTCAGGTTCAGCGACCTTAGTTTTCTCGGTAGCATTAGCATCGGCAAGCTCCTTGCTGAGCGGGGTTGGTTCGGTCGGCGCGATCGGTGAGTGCGGGCTGTTGCATCCGGTTGGCTAAAGGAAAGGCAAGTATTAGTAATGAAACAATAAGAAATCTTGCAAAGGACTTCTATTATTATACAGAAAGTTATAAAGTTGCATTTCCTGCATAATTGTATTTTCAACTTAGGTAGTAATTATGAAACAAAATGATAACGAGTGATGATGAAATCATTTCGGTAGCATAAGCCCCTCTAATAACTTTGCTTTCAAAATACTTCATTTTCAAAACACTTCAATAGCAACACTTCAATAGCAACAAATGTGACCTTTCAGTTAATCTTTAAACGCCATCGTCTTTGCTGCAATTATATTTACTAATCGTATTTGGTATTTTTGTTGGATTCAAACAGTTGACAATTTATTAATACTTTTGAAGTTTTATTTTTAAACTTATAGATAGCCGTATAAGTTGACTAAAGCTATATTTTACTATTCTTAGAGGAAAAAAGTAATTAACTATTCACAGCTAAAAATGCTTAAAGTCTATTTTTAAAGAGCTACTTTATTATACTTACAGTGGTTGCAGAATTATTGAGTGGTGGCTGTGCGGGCGGTGTGTTCACCTGGGCAGGGGGAGCAGGCGGTGCGGGAGCCGTTGGCGATGGGGACTTTCGAAGGTAGTGCGTTGCCGAGCCGGGGGAGCGCACCGCAGTTGCCCGTCGAGGTGGCTGGAACACCAGGGCCTTGTCTGGGCCGCGTTTGCCGCCTTAGTACCGACATAAGAAGAAATGTACTACAAGCAATTTTTTTTTATAAAGCCTCGATTCTTGTTAGGTGTATTAATTATTTAATATTTATTTCTTTGTTTGTCATTTCTTTATTAGTTATTCAATAAGATATCCAAATATTTTTCGTTTCTTCAGAATATACTCATAATTCTAAATTGTTGTCCTAGTTCTAAACAAACTTTGGTATTTAGGACCCAAAAAAATTGTAATAAACAAACCCTATAACTTTTGTCTTAATTTTTTTTTTTCATTCTCGTCTTAATTTTTTAAATCTTTCACTTGCGCATGGTGAGTGACGCTTCGCCACACTCACTATACTATCACATAGTGTGGCGACGCGTCGCCACGCCAACCGCCTATCTGACATTCTTCATTAGATGTTTCACATCATAAAGAAATATTTCAAAATGAGTGTCCCATATTTTCAAGTTTTAGAAAAACTTACCAAGCTTGTGAGCAAGCGAGTTCCTACGGCGTGCTATCCAGCAGGCGAGAGTGACTAGAGCAGCCACTATCAGCGCTGCGGCACCACAGACTACCAGCCATAGCGTGGCGCCTTGTATTTCGCCACCTACAGAACAATCATAAAGAATAATTAAATGTTATTTCTCAGGTAATGTACAGGGTGCGAGCCAGCTCCAACAGCATACTGAACATGATAGCTAGGAGACCATATTGTCCATTTATGACTAATTGCATCAGGGTTTCAGCCTCGTCCGTCACTGCGAGGCAATGAGTCCAATCGTAAGTATATGATATTCTAGTTATCGTTACAATTTTAAAATGTATACAAATAAATAAAATTGAAGTGTCTGTTTTTTATGTCAAAATAATAGGTTTTTTTCATGCTCACACGGTTATTTGCACGATACCTATGCCTAGAAAAAAGTTTAAATATTTTTTGTTCATCGTCACATCATCACATCAACAGCCTTTAATGCCTTTAATAGTCCACTGCTGGACATAGGCCTCTCCTTAGAAAGAAGGTTTTGGCTTACTATCACTAACGAAGTCACAGTGTAAATCAAAATTTTCACTAGCATTTTTGAGTCTTAATTACTTTAATAAATCATTAATTATATTATTATAATTTCATTATACATACGTCAATATTATTATCGAACTAAAGTGTATAATTTTTTTGTAAAATCGACTCCTACTTCGAGGATAACAACTATTTCCCCTTAACTCAAAAGCACTGCTGATACAACATCTAAACACGCAAATAAATAAATTCTAAATAAAAAAAAATAGTTTATAGAGAGATGCTGTGTAAGACGTCGCCAGGCGACCCACTTACTCGTACAAGTGTACATTTTTTATATCACTTTATGTACCAACGCGCTACATGTTGAGAAAATGTTAGCCAATAAAATGTTTGGGATATCGGAAGTAAAATGGGGTAATCGATGACACACTGCTATATGTAAGTTAGGTTAAATACACAGGGTTTAACTGGTTTGAAGCTGACAATGTGACTTAATCATTTAACCATTTCCTAATCTATACCAGTAATAAAAATCAAATCACTCACAAAACTACAGTATCAAAATATTTTTAAATATTTTTGGTACTTTTTATCAAATTAAGTAAGTCTTAATTTAAATTTAGACTAGACTAGATTTAAACTTAAAATATATTTTGACATGTCATGTCTTGTTATGTCAATTATTTAGTATTAATTGTTTGAAAAAATCTTTTAATATCTATCCTAGTATGTATTTTTACAATTTGCATGTATAAAATAAAAAATATAGCTGTGAATGAGTTATCCATATAACAAAGCTATCATCTTGTTGATATGCCATTTTACTTCGATTCGCATAACTATTGCTGTTCAGTTAAGTGAAAGTCAGAATTTATCAACACATTAGAAAAGTGCACTAAAACGAAAATAAAACAATACGTCTCCAGTCAAATAGACATACTAAACATGAAGGTATCAGCATTTTGTTAGCAACATTAACAACACGTGTCACGACTTATTCAACATAATATAAAGTAATCATAGAAAGTAATTTGCATATAGACTACAGAAAGGGAACGTGTCTGACATAAGTTAATTCAAGGATCAGATTGCATTATCATTGACGCACGGTATAACTCCCCACAGTCTAGCCTAATGTCAAGACCGTGGGGCGAAGAGATTTCCAATAAGCCCCATTCGACCTTGTTCGGTAAACATCATCTGTCGCGAAAACCTCGTGTTAGTTCAATGGGAACTACCCCAAATAAAGGTTTATTTGTGGTGTTTAATGAATTCGTTTATTAAGGCTACATGTATTTAAATATAACGCGGTGTAAGTTCGATTCATTAATTATATTGTTAAGGAAATATAAACAGTAACCCTCACACACAAAGAAGCTACATCATCATTGGATTAATACCTAATATATTTTAGGAATTCTGTAAATGTATGTATGTATGTGTATGTTTCTATGAATGTATATATGTGTAGGTATATGTACTCGTATGTTTGTAAAAAAGTTTTAATGATATTCATCACTTTTTGTACCCGCATTTATTTTCACGTATTATTTTGTGTACCTATGTATTTGTTAGTTAAGTCTTGTGATTGAGTTTAGTGCACCTCATCACTCATCTCTACACCACCCCAAGGTAGACTGGCAGAGAATACCTACGGCATTAAGTCCACCTTTGTAGATTTTTTTGTTAAAAAAGTTGTGAATAGAAAGAGCTTTACTTTGTAAGAGATATAAAATAGCCCCAATATACTCATTCGATAAATGGTTCAGCCTCTAAGGTTGTCTGAACAAAGCAGTAGACATCTTCAACTATAAATCCCTCGAATACCTTGTATAAAAGTGACGTTCCCCTCCGAAAGATCTCCGCCTCGGCACACTTCAAGTCAATAAAATTTAATATCGAATGAAATATCTAATAAAACTGTAAGATACGACGAACCTTCTAGTTTTGAAATATTGGTTTTACCTACTAATGTTTATGGAAAGGAACAGGCGCTGCCATATTATAAATTTAATTGAAAATATGTAGATTATTGATAACCTAACATACATACACATACATACATTATACATTTAAAAATAGGGAGTGTCACCACTCTTATTCATCCCGTGGGTGTCGTAAGAGCCGACTAAGGGAACAAACTACGCAGGATATTAGCTCTGCAAAGAGAAAGAAAACTTGAAATAAACCGCATACCAATCCGGTCAGCGTGGCACAGTAGGCCAGAACCTCCTTCCTAACGAGAGGCCTATATCCAGCAGTGGACTACTAAAGGTTTTTGTTCATAATGATGATTTGAAATGCATGTATTTCAAATCAATGAATCAATGATGGTTAATTAATGACGTTAATCTACCAATATAACATTTACTTTTTAATCTTATTAACAACTATACCTTATAGCTCGTAAAGAGCGATGTCTAAGCAGCTATGTGTAAACAGCTCTTGTCAGTACATTGTTTTCAATAATTCTTCTCCAGTACTTACTGGCCAAAATCCCCTGCTTTTGGTTTGGCTTTCACACTGTCTATCGTAGCAGGTATTTATATAACCAAATTTTTGTATTTTCACAAAAAATCATTTATAAGATTGACACAGAATTAAGATATTGCGTCAAATTTATTTTAACTTAAAACTAATTTTGTCATCGTTTTGTTTCTTGGAATCTTTCAAAGTTCTCAAAAGCGACAAGAACATTTAAATTAACTTATAAAATACAGTATTAAATTTTCTACGAATTTTGTAAATAGATAAATGTTTCAATATATTTTTTTAATTTAGACCAGATTGTTTAACGTTGTTGTGTATTTGCTTTTAATAAAATTGAAACCTGTCAAGAGTGTTAATGGAATTCGTTTGATCGAAAGCCCTTAATTTCGGCGCCATTTTCAATAATGAATAATTTTCTACCAAATTATTATGGCCTGTTTCCTAAGCAAACCCAACTACACTGGTGGACAAAAATTAGGCCACTTCTAATTTTATAATTTATTCATTATTTACCATTTACGGTCTGTTTTAAAATTAAAAGAAATAATACGTTTTTAAACGTTCATTTGCAATCTTAGTAGAGGGTTTATTGATAAAATTATCAAGTGTAAATGTGTCAAATGTCATTTAATCAGTTTTTTAGAGAACCACACTTTTATTCTTCTATGTTTAAAGTCCTGTCGCTAGGACATTATTTAAAACTATGGTTAAATTGGTATTACTGATTTAAGCTCTGTGTTGTCGGTTACAAACAGGAATTGAAGTGTGAAGTCAGTAAATCAGCGGTTCAATATATCTACAAAAGGTATCTGGAGACCGGTGGATGTGTGTATATGGTGCTGATGGTAGCAAAAGAGTATATCGTAGACCGGGAGTACAATATGCACTATGACTCAATCTGAAAGGGTAAGCTTTGGAGGTGGTTCAGTTTTATTCTGGGGAGGTATACCGTAGCCCGTACAGAGCTGGTTATCGTAGAAACAGGAACTGTGACGGCTGAATCGTACGCTATACTCAGGATTTATCAGTCAAGAATTTAAATTAATGCAGGATAATGTGCGCCCCTACACTGCCATGTGCGTGAGAGATCACTTGCGAGAAGTGGGAATACAAGTTCTGGACTGGCCAGCAAGAAGTCCAGCCCTTACAAAATAGAGCATTTATGGACGAGCTAAAACGACAAGAACCAGCTCCGGAGAACATGCAACAGCTGAAAGTGACTTTATTGGAGGAATTTCGGACACTTTCTGATTTCACATTTGTAAACATCGCCATTTCGAAAGTGGTTCATTGGTTTGATGTCAACAATTTACTATTAAATGAACAAAAAACTAAGTGTATACGTTTCACTATGCCAAACGTCAAGCCAGTGAAAACTACTGTGATAATTAAGGATGTCGGGCTGGACCTTGTGGACACTACGACATTTTTAGGTATAACACTAGATGCTAAGCTACAGTGGGGCCCACATATTGATAAATTGTCGAGTAGACTCAGCTCAGCAGCATACGCAGTAAGGAAAATCCGAGAGTTGACTGATGTTGATACAGCACGACTTGTTTACTTCAGTTACTTTCATAGCATAATGTCGTACGGTATTCTGCTGTGGGGGAATGCTGCCGACATTCAAACTATTTTTGTGCTGCAAAAGAGAGCTATTCGAGCACTTTATAATTTAGGCAATCGTTGTTCATTGAGGCAGAAATTTAAAGAAATAAATATAATGACAGTGGCAAGTCAATATATTTATGAAAATGTAATATATGTTCACAAAAATAAAGATAGCTTTTTGAAAAAAAGTGATGTACATGCCATAAATACCAGAAATAAAAATAAATTTGTTGTACCCGCCTCTAGGCTCCAAAAGATAAACAAGTCTTTTCGAGGTCAATGTGTCCGATTTTATAATAAAATCCCAAATAATATTCAGGAGTTGAGTATTAACAAATTTAAATCCGCAATAAAACGTGGCTTGTGCCAGAGGGCCTACTACTCGATTGTGGATTACATGGAGGACAAGAATGCTTGGGATTAATTAGCAGGCTATTTCTTTCTTAAGTAAAAATGTGGTGTGGCTAGTATGTTTTTTATTATTTTTTCTATTTTTTATGTTTCACTTTATTTTCTCTTGTATTCGTTTGTTCTTCTTAATCTTGTTTTCTCTTCCTTGTTTTTTCACCTTTAAGTCCTTAATAACGGACATACTAGCACACATCAAAACAATGTTGTGATATATTTAATAGTGCCATTGTATCTACTTGTGAATTGCAAAAGAGTGGCCATGAGTTTGTTTGCCCTTTCTTCTCATAAGGCTCAACCCCTTGGAAACGGGCGGTTGTAGATCGGCACAGGCATAGATTTTGTATGGGTTTGATTTTGTTAAATTTATTTGGTTACTATTTGACAAAACAGAGATTGTTGCTTTTGTGTGTGTTGATCTATGACTTTAGAGTCTACATGGAAGACGATTTCAAACAATTTTGAAAATTTTATGAAATAAAGAAAATTTGAGTTTGAGTTTGAGTTTGAATAGGTACATTCCCCAATCTACCATCATAAAATTTGTACTCATATGTGTTATCAAAGCTAGAGGAAGCAATTCCTCTTAGCAAAGAAAGATGATATCAGCGAAACCATTCTAAATCAGGGTGAACTTGTTACCTGGTTCCCCGGCTATTAGTACCCGAGACGGCGTGCGGTTTTAGTCGGTTCGAGTCCGACATACCACCGATAGGTGGTATCCGAGGGGATTTCCGGGGATGTATTATTTAAAAAAAAAGGTGGTTTCATTCAAGAATTCACACATAATTAATAAAACAAAAGGTTTTATTTCAGAAG